TGTGTGTGTGTGTGTGTGTGTGTGTTTCGATTTCGGAATGGGAATGGGCCAAAAAACTACAACAAAAGGCATTGAGATATTGAAGCAGGTTTTAATCAGATTGGTTGTTGCTGGGTTATTTCTCAATTACACTGAAATGTCGCATATCATGATTTAAAGCCACACTTCGGCTTTTAGTGAGATCCTTGAATCTTAATGACGTCTCTCCAGCTCTTTAATTTCTCCCTCCTCAACAGCACCCCTGCAGATAATATCTCTGTTCTTTTGACATATCTTGTACATCTATTTTTAGTTCTTTTTTATTTTTCGGTTTCAGTTTCTCAGCTCCATCTTTTCAGAACTTTTTTCCACACTAAACTCGAGCGCCGGAGCGCGCAGGGAAGGTAGGGGAGGTCCCGGTTGAGTAAAGATATTTTATTGGACGACACAGTGTCGATAATGAAAATGAACGAATAGGCTGCTCACTCTTCGGGGGCCCTTGAACTGATCCATCGCCCTGCCTGTGAAATTCCCTGTGTGCCAAATTACCACTCCAGCCCTGGTAACAGTAAGTTCTGAACTTTCAGTACTATGTTTTTAATCACAGGCTTTATGTTTAAGGATCACTGGACGTCAGACCGTCAGACTCTAAATGATCGAAGTAAAAAGCGAACTCTTCGGTCCGCACTTTCTAACCATGACAAAAAGTCGTTACCAGTGAAATCAGAGTATTGAACATGTAACCAAAAGTAACACGCGCATGAGTGAATACGCTGAGTGTTACCTGTACGGGAGACCGGCCAGGTAGGTGAATAAGGCCATCGTCGATCCTGCTGCGGGACACGCACGGTGCAGTCGAAAGACGTGTGGCGCCGCGATGAGCCTAGTAACAGCTGACTCTGAGTGACGTCAACACAAACGTGTGGCCGGATTTGTTTATTATATACAGTTTAATGTGCAAGCTATTAGTAAAACATTAAAAGGTGAACAGACAGCAGGCCTATGAATAAACAACAATGACGACAAACTATCAAACCAACAAAGTGAACCTAACATCACGTTAAAATTAATCATAAAGAAAGAAAGTGATTTCTTTTAAAATGATAGTGAAACTAAATTAGATATAGAACTTACCTAACATTGGATTCGTATGTTTGTCTGATAAAGCGTTTGTTATGAGGTGAACGACTATTTAGAGACAGCCCATCTCAGTGACTAATACACTCTGAACTCACCTGACTTCAACAGAAACCGAAGGAGCTCTTCGGACTCACACAGCAGACAAACACAATGTGCAAGTACAGCTTGTCCGTCCGCTCACCTGCAGGTGAGTTGGGGGTTATCAAATTAAACCACTCCAAAAAGCAGCAGAAGACCGTGAAAGACTTGAAGATGAAAGCAGCGCAACTGTTTCCAAAGAAAGGTAAGCCCAAAAACTCAAAACAGATCAGAAGAGAAACTATAAAGAGAAGAAATAGTAGTGAAGCTATGTGTCGAGCGATCGTGTTGCAATCTAATGAAAATCAAGTGACACAAATGACACAGACTCATTCAAATGTCCTCATTTATTTCAAGAATCTTATATCTTTTTTAAACTGTATCAAGTGTTTATTGTCAAAACTTTTTCGGTTCAGTTTGGTGTTCATTATGTTCCGTGTCAGTTTCAGTTTGTTTTGTTGTTATGTGAGGTCTTTGTGTCGTGCAAAAACCACGAAGCACAATAATACGACACAACTTCAAACACACATTCAACTGGATATCTCAGTGTTATTGTGTTTTCGTCGCACAAACTGTGAGAGCACACTTTGGTTTATAAAGCGGGTGAAATAAATGTTTTTCACACTAAGTTTAGTTTTAGTTGAGCAGTGGCCACAGTCATGTGCTGTCTGAGTGCAACTTAAAATAACCATCTTCAGTGGTGTTCAGAGACATGATATAATTATTTGTGACATGTTTAAATATTTAGTGAGGTTCACTCTCTCCTGTGTTGTGTGTGTAGGATATCTTATGGCTGAATTCCGGCTGATTGTCTCAGGAAAGCCGCTGGACGATGACTCTGCATCTCTGTCGGAGTATGGGATCAAACCCTCGTCTGTGGTGCAGATGGTGGCGAAGGTCCACGGAGGCTGACAGATATCATCATCGATGAACTCAACTCCATCCAAGAGATTCACCTCAGGACTGGAATGTGATACACCAAAGGACGCAATGCATCATCTTTGCTAGCTGGGACTGTGTCATCTTTGATCTTTGGTTCTCTTCCACACTTTTGTATCTTCCTTTAGATTTTAAGACTTTTATCATACCTATATAGACTTCAGCACTAATTTATTATCATGAGTTGTAAATGATGCACAAATAGGGCATAATAACATTTCTTTTTTTATTTCTCTTTTTGTTTCATTGATAGCCTGTGTAACTTACCATTAGTTGAAATACCAAAAGTTGACAACAAATGTATGGTTATGCAGCAGCCCCATGAATATCAATGGTCCTAAAAAAAGAAGTGATACTGAGATCATTGGTTAATATTTAGTTATCTTGACTTTTCAGCTGATTCCTAAAAATGCTCTGCTTTCATCTTGTTTAAAAATAAATGCAATGATTATTGAATTTAACCCCTTGTGCTCATTTGTAGCTCTGTATATTTATTCTTGGACTCTTGTGGAATAGCCTTGCTTTACATATCCAAACAGACCTTGTGTGAAAAAGTAATTCCCCATAAACCCGAAAACCGGATTGCATCAAAAACTGCAATCAAGTGTTTATGATAACTGACAATGAGTCTTTTACATCACTGTGGAGGAATTTTGGCCACACTGCAGGGTTTACAAGCATTAGAATTCTGTTTAAGGTCATGCATCTCAAAGCAGCTCAATCTGATTTAAGTCCAGGCTTTGACTCAGACACTCCAAAACATTAATTTGGGTTTTTTTAATCCACTCAGAGGTGGACCTGCTGCTGTCAGCTGATTGTCCTGATGCATAACACAAGTGAGCTTCATGGGATAAACTGATGGTTGGACATTCTTATTCAGGATTTTCTCGTAGAGCGCAGAATTCATGGATTCATCAGTTACAGCAAGGTCATCTTGAAGCAGCAAAGCAGTCCAGACCATTACACTGCTACCACCACGTATATGTTGGTATGATGTTCACACAAAACAATTTGATGAGCTGGATTTTTGTTGTTTCAGTTAAACTTACATTAATCAATAAATACCATATTGTGGGTAAGACTTGCTCTGTAATTCATTAACTTATTAGCTAATAAAAGAAATTATATCAGTAGCAAAATTTTTCTTGTAGCTAATACCTGCATTGCTAGATATGCAATGGTTTGATAAAACACTGAAAAGGTCACAGCTGGACAAGCACAGGTGTAAGTCATTGCACTGAAATCTAAAGTATATGATAAAAATAACAGGTTTCAGGTTAATATTTTTGATACAGGCTTTTACAGCATTCATTAGGTGCTCATCTAGTTTTTGGTACTTTTGTTTCCAAAGACTTGTGAGATGCAAAAGAATAAGTGAACAAAAGTGGCTGTAAGGTTGTTTAGAAGAGCACGGTTTATCAGTCTCTTAGATGTGTGATTTCTTGAAGTGCTTCACAGGTGCTGGTTGAACACGAGGTGATTATAGGCCCTAAAATGTTGTGTACACACTGTTGAGTGATGTGTCTGCAGACCAAGTAAAGAGCGCTTGCTGTGTATTATGTTTAAAACAAGATGTGATAATAGATCAGGTATTATTTTCATCACTTGCACACATATGTGCTCGTATATTGTGGTAGGATTAAAAATATTATCAAGGTTAATTTAATATCTAATTTATCCCAAAATCAGAAACCTGGTACCACGCCAGCCTTCTGCTTTTATTTATTTAGGTACACTGTTATTTATGCTGACTTTATTTTATCTATTTTAACAAAGTCAACCTTCAGTGGCCTACCTGCTCCAACAACCTGCGACACCAGTTGGTGAGAGAGGTCGGGGTCACAGCGTGACCACAGGACATCTGAGCTCTGAGAGATTTGAAGCCTTCACACAAAACTGAGAACAATCACACACAAATTCAAGAATAAATGTTTTGTGACATTGGTTTATGTGAGTTGGTTAAAATGATTTTCACCGTTATTATTGTAATTATTCTCATTATTGCTGCACCCAAGTAATACTTACCGTCCAAATCATCCTCTCTATCGACAAATTTAAATGTCAGGTCGAGAGGGTTGTAACACTTCTCCTGTTTTGTTAAAGTATTTGAGGCCATCAGTCTGCGAAACAGTAACAGAGCACAGTGTCACTTCAAAGAGACAAACCTCCAGTTTACTGTGTGTGTGAGTGTGTGTGTGTGTGTGTGTGTGTGTGTGTTGTGTGTGTGTGTGTGTGTGTGTGTGTGTGTGTGTGTGTGTTGTGTTCGAGAATGGGAATGGGCCAAAAAACTACAAAAAAAGGCATTGAGATATTGAAGCAGGTTTTAATCAGATTGGTTGTTGCTGGGTTATTTCTCAATTACACTGAAATGTCGCATATCATGATTTAAAGCCACACTTCGGCTTTTAGTAAGATCCTTGAATCTTAATGACGTCTCTCCAGCTCTTTAATTTCTCCCTCCTCAACAGCACCCCTGCAGATAATATCTCTGTTCTTTTGACATACCTTATACATCTATTTTTAGTTCTTTTTTATTTTTCGGTTTCAGTTTCTCAGCTCCATCTTTTCAGAACTTTTTTCCACACTAAACTCGAGCGCCGGAGCGCGCAGGGAAGGTAGGGGAGGTCCCGGTTGAGTAAAGATATTTTATTGGACGACACAGTGTCGATAATGAAAATGAACGAATAGGCTGCTCACTCTTCGGGGGCCCTTGAACTGAGCCTGTGAAATTCCCTGTGTGCCAAATTACCACTCCAGCCCTGGTAACAGTAAGTTCTGAACTTTCAGTACTATGTTTTTAATCACAGGCTTTATGTTTAAGGATCACTGGACGTCAGACCGTCAGACTCTAAATGACAACCAGACCCGCCACACACAAATCTGCTTTCACCCTTTATTGAAATAGTAAAAGAGAAATTATTTACATGGCTCATGTTGTAAACAAACCACCAAAAACTATGATAAATTGGAATTAAATCATTTTTACCGGTTAAACTAAAATTATTATAACTATAAACTCTATATTACAGTGGTATTTGCTAACTTTGTACATCTCAGAACTGCGTTGCTAAATATTCTGTTGTTTTATTGAAACACTTTAGTGATTTTTGTGCCGGGGTGAAACTAAAATCTATCATTATGTCATTATGTCCATGTTGTAGCACACAGAAATGTTGAGTTACTATTTGCAGATCTGTGTAACTATGTCTTGCTCTAACCTTTGTTGAAAATGTGATTTATGTAATACTGAGCAGATCATTTCAAGTATGTGGCATATGTTTTTTACACTGGTAAGCTAATGTGATTAAATCATAAACATCTCAATTACAGTACAATATAAGCGCAGGTTTAATTGTGGTGCTGTTAGAGATGCTGCTGACATGTAAGTCATTGTGTCTATATCAAGATTTTAGCCTAATGATAAGGAGAAATATTTGTGTCTTTCTTTAACATCCAGATCCTTAGAGATTATTAGAGATAAACAGTGGCTCATGAGCTAGAACCAAATTAAGGGCTCTAAAACCTGCACAGGAAAAATATCCCATATTTCGCCTGTGATCACACACTTTGGTTTTCCAATGCAGAAGAATGGCCAACAAAAGTAAAGACCACTGAGGGGAAAAAGTATGAAGATGCAAGCTGGTGATGATCCAGTGCAGCTGAGAACATGAAGAAAAACCCTGTTCAACTTCTCCACAGAAACAAGGTGAGTTTCATGTTATGATTTGTTTTAGTTTTTGAAGGTACATATGTTACTTCAATAATAAACTGCTCATATTACAACTGAATGCTGTTATGTGTACAATGACCAAAATCAAAACTATGTTATTTCTTGCTGGATTTCAATAGCAGAGTATACAAATCCATTAAATTTTCATTTGTTTTCAAGTCATTTTCCGCCTCAACTTGCTCAGTATTAAACTTTGTAAAGTGTTAAACCAAGTCTCTGTACTTCTTCCAAGCATTGTGTTCTTCAATATGTGCCTTTCTCTTTTTTGTATATATTCCTCTAGCACTCTAGTTTGTATGTAATTCTCCTGTTTGTTATTTATTTCTGCTGCCTTGTTATTATATTTTATACCTGCACATCTCACTATTCATCATTGATTGAAGACAATAAGAACAACCGTAGGTTTTCTCTTTAGCATCATAGCCAGGCTGACAAAAATGGTTGGCTTAACAGAGCTCTGTTAAGCCAACCATTCCTTTAACGTGAACTATCAGTGAATTCATGAATTTCTTCTCAAATTAGACAAAAAAAATACTCATAATCATCTCACAGATGTTACATTATGTAAAGTTACTTTCAGTACCACTGATATTTATCTAGTCTTTTTCCTCAACTGATCTTT